GAAATCTGCAAGCAAGCGCTGGATTGGAATTCGGCAGGACATCGCAGCAGAGGCAGACCCAGGGGCTTATGGCGGCGGAGCCTCAATAAGGAAATTAAGCATGTCGATAGGAATCTGTCCTGGGCCCAGGTCAAGGCAAAAGCGAGCAGCCACCCAGGATGGAAGTCTTTCACGTTGGCCATGATTTCTGCAGTTTATAGGAGGTGCTATGAAATTGATTAAATACACCAAATCCAGTGGAAGCATTTATGGTTGACCCATCTGTGAAAAATCTTATATCGTTACTTACATGGTGGTACTTGATTGCAAAAATTGAGGGAACAACCATCGACCGATGGTGATCTGGTATTCCATGGATTTCTTGCATCATGGTCAGATTAAAATTTACAGAGGTACTATAGAAGGCTTGAAAGTAGTCACGATTGGAGATTAATGAAGAAGGGCCAACCTCCAGCGTCATGTACTCATAGTACAAACTCATGAATCTTGTTTGAGGATTTCGGTCGAGCAGCTTCTCAAAGTGTTCTATTACCAAAGGATTCATTACTTCACAACGGATGAGCTAGAAAGGATAGATAGCTCAGCGAAACGATCTGTCAGTGGGAGAACACCCGCGAGTACTTCGAGGTTCATCGTATGAGTCGAGTGCATACAGCCTAGCGCAATACGAAGGCAACGGTATTGGATCCGTTGCAGCTTAAGGATGTGTGTTTTTGCTGGTTGGATGGTTGTTCGGCACAACCTTATCAGATCTTCCGGGTGTGCTCCCAACCAAGTTCCGGTAAATGTACGAAGAAAATTAATCATTTGCTGGCATTTTTGTTTCAGATACGCAATATGTTTTCCCCATGTGCATTTGGAATCGAACCAGACACCTAAATACTTGAAAGATATACTTTGAGTGATTGTTCTACCCTTTAATTGAAGCTGTAACTGTGCAGGTTGATACTTCCTAGAAAAAACAACCAACTCAGTTTTCTTCGGAGAAAATTCGATACCCAGCTTCATAGCCCAAGTAGACAAATTGTCTAAGCTATCTTGCAATGGTCCTAGCAGGTTCGGTGCACTTGGCCCTATAACGGACACAACGCCGTCATCTGCAAGCTGCCTTAGCGAGCAATTTTCATCAAGACAACCATCAATGTCTTTTAAATAAAAAATATAAAGAAGGGAGCTTAAACATGAGCCCTGGGGGAGACCCACACGCTAACTTCTGCTAACTCACCAGGTGAGTCGATCGTACTCACTTTCGTCCGATGTATCGAGTTGTCAAAAATTGAGTAAACGAGAAATGTCAAACTGAGTAAAAGCCACTCAGTCAGCAAAATCCTGGACTTGGAAAAAATGCCAGTCATGTCGGAGGAAACCTCCTAGAAAATGTTACTCAAAACCGGCTGAAATGCCTTCAGGTAAGTACGAATTGCTTAGGGAAACGGTGTTAACCGTTTTTTGCTCCAGTAGAATGAATCCGGAGCAGGCAATTTCCATTTCCTTGAATGAAAATCAAAACAAACACCCTCCCCGCAACTGAAAATACCGGCGAGTGGATTTGACTCAGTCTACGTGAGAACGTAGTTTACTCAAAAGTGAGTCAACATAAGGCTACTCAATTTTGAGTAGCCATACTTGCCGCTGAGATGAGTACATTCGACTCAATTTTGAGTTGACCAGAATATGCGTGCATGTAACTAATTGGTGAACTTGTCGAGTTTCCATGAGAAAAGCTCATATATTTCTCAGACAACAAGTTGCTCAAATAGTTGTTCATAATTGGTGAAAGCGCACTATCGTGGAGTTTATCCGAAAGGACATCGATGCAAATCGAATCAAAAGCCCCCTTAATGTCCAAGAAAACTGAACCCATTTGCTGTTTTTGCGCATAGGCCAGTTGAATTTCAGTTGAAAGCAATGCAAGACAGTCGCTCGTTCCTTTGCCTCTCCGAAATCCAAATTGCGTGTCTGAAAGTAAACCATTCGACTCGACTCATTTGTCTAGACGAAAAAGGATCATGTTCTCCAACAATTTCCGTATACAGGACAGCATCGCGATGGGACGGTACGAGTTATAATCCGACGCGGGTTTACCGGGTTTTCGAATGGCGATAACTCTTACCTGCCTCCAGTCATCCGGCACAATGTTGTGCTCCAGAAATTGATTGAATAAGTTCAACAAGCGTCTCTTCGCGACGTCTGGGAGATTTTTAAGCAAGTTGAACTTGATTCTATCCATTCCTGGTTGTTACATTCCTTGATCGAAAGCGGGGAATCTATTTCGTTACTACACGACGGACGATCACGAACGTTGGTTCGGGGCCGAATCCGGGCAAACTTTCCGCGCGAAGCTGAATATCCAATTGTCTTAGTACTCCTTGTCTTCGTTGACCGGTGATGACGCGTTTCGCATTCTCCTGCCGGCAGTCCAGAGTGTTCTCATGGAAGTCTCTCGTGACAAATCATCGACGAACCGACGCCAGTAACCGCGTTTTTTGGCTTTAATCAAACCCTTAAAAGTTTTCTCGAGGTCGGTGTACCGCTTGAAATCCCCGACCTTACCGTGTTTGCGGAAGCGTTTAAACGCGGCGGACTTCTCGCTGTGCGTCGGTGCAATCCTTATCCCACCACGGAGTGGGAGGTCGTTTGCGAACGGAAACACCCGGAACGTGTTTTGTCTGTGCTTGAAGAGCGCAGTCAACGATAATTCGCGATAAAAAGGAGTACTCATCCAGCGGAGGGAGTATCTCAACCGAATCAGTACCACCGAGAACCGCAGACGCAAATTTTAGCCAGTCGATGTTTTTCGTGAGATCGTACGCGATATCAACCGAGTGGGTGGACGATGAACCATTGGTAATAGAAATTTTGATTGGCAAGTGGTCACTACCGTAGGGATCTTGAATTACTTTCCACGAGCAATCCAACGATAGTGAACTCGAACTGAGGGAAGCTCTGAGATTTCCAAGGCAATTTGAAGGGAATTGAATTTATTAATTGGGCAAAGGTTCGTGAAAGCCATAGTTAGTTCTTGCCGAAGGGATGGCGATAAACGTATACGACTGAAGATTGTGACGACGTGCGTGGATGTCCAAAAGATTAAGAAGCGTAGAACTGTCAATTTTTCTTTGCAGAAGATCGCCAACAAAGCATGTTTTTGCCACGTTGTTTTTCGCTTCCAGTAACTTCAGGTTTATTCGCAAACAACGGCTATCATCTCTTCTGCTCCTGCTGAGATGACGATGACGCGAACCAGATGAATTTTCCTTTATTTAATGTCGGTCTCTGATCCGCAATTTAGTGCCAATCACCGACGGACGGCAATCGAATGTGCAAGGAAGGCAGTTTCCACACCTGCGTAGGATATCGCACCCATTCAAACACAGATGGGCCGGGACCAACGGCTTTACTTCCCTTCCGAAGGAAGACGTGACCAGAGATTTTTATGCCTCAGAAAAATCCCACCGACCTCGGCTGGGTTTGAACCCAGACCCATTGGGGTGAGAAAGCAGTCACGTTTACCAATACACCACCGGTGCCGGCAGATGAATTTTCAATGCGATGAATTTCACTCTGGTAATAAGGATGAATACTCCAAGATAGGGCGCACAATTGAGCAATACAACGCTTCTAGGCAGTAGATGTCCTACTTTTTTGCAAAACGAAATAATAATCCTAGTTGCGATGAGGCTTTAGACACGTGATCCTTGAAGGTAAATATTGTATCCACCAGGATCCCCAAGTCCTTGACTGTCGACTCGCGTTGTAGATTCACGCCTCCCAAATCATGGCCAAAATGAAAGTGTGAGTGCTTGTGACCAAGCACAGCGACATTCGATTAATATGACACCATTCAGCAAAGGCTTCCAGTTGTTGTTGCAGAAAAAGCGCGTCTTGTGGTTGCTTAATCGTTTAGTAAAGCTTCAGGTCATCGACATACGAGAGTTTTAGGCATTTTAAGATGAAATTGACATCGTGCATATACAGCGACTTCTTTGGGGAACACCAGACCAAACCGGTCTGGACGGAGGGCGAAACGTGGTCTCCAATTTTGACGGACATACTTCAACCGGTTAGGTAGGATCGAAGCCAGGAAAGCAAGTTATTGTTCATTCCCAGTTTGCCGAATTTAGCTGCTGCGATTTGATGTATCATTTTATCAAAGTCTGTGTAAATTGCGCCTACTTGTTGACCATTTTCTATTTGGCAGATCACGAACGAAGTGAAGCAAGTAAAATTAATTGTCGAACGGTTAGGCATAAATCCGTGGCGCTCAACGCTGCTATTCCAGTTCGAAACAATCCGCTTGCAGTCTTTCTTGAAAACTAGGAAAACATACGTTCGGGAATACACCAGTAGCCAAAGATGGGTTGAATACTCTTTGCTAGGGCCGTAGCAAGTGTATCCGCGCAGCATTTAAGAACAAACGATGGAATGCCATCCGGACCACATCCCGTGGAGAATTTAAACATCATAGGAACCGTCGCTGAAGGCTAGTTGGTACTCGGCGAGAGGAGCATCAGGAAGTTCAAAGAAGCAGGTACAGCATTACTTGCTAGGGGCGCAGGCCTAGGAATTGAAGATTCGTCAGAGCGAGGATTGCCGTTACTAATAAGATAGGCAGCTTGGAGGACCCCATCGCCAGCACTAGGCTCAGGACCGGGACGAGTAGTGTTTCCGTTTCCCTGCCTTTTTTAGCTATCCGGGAATCGGGAAACTGCAGTTGGCTCTTCCCGGGGATTACCTGCAATCTTTAAATAATTATATTCAGTAACCAGATAGGTTAATCAGAATGTAGATGTTTTAATTTCTGTTGAACGATACATGAAGGATTCTGGCTTTTCTGTCAAAATACGATAAAATTGTAGTTTTTGTATCTTTATTGTAATTTAAAGTGTTTTTTGTACTTTATTACAGAGATTTTAGCCGCAGGCTAGTGCATCTCTTATAAAGTTTGCCTTATATATGCTATAATCTTTTTGTTGTTCTTCTCTAAGTTATCCATCAAATTTTTTTTTCATTAATTATTTAATTTTTTTTTAATTTTTTTTTGCATTTATAATTGTAATTATGTTACTGATAAAAAATATAACATTCTTTCTCGCCAGGCGTAAAATTATACAAATTATGTTTTACTCCAGAGAGACATTTATTTTACAACAGCGCCAACCGCATGACTGCCTTGCGCCATCGACCACAGTCCTGAATCAGAGTGCGCTCTTCGCCCTTCAGCTCCTCGTACTGCCGCTTCAGTTCATCTGCCTCATGCTCCAGCCGTAGTTCGCGGTCCCGCCTGTTGAGCCGTGACCGCCGGGATGCCTCGTTGTTCTTGTCCCGTTGCTCCCGATAGCGTAGGTCATCTTCGTTCAGGTGCTGGTATTCGGACCGGTCCCGTATAGTACTATCCTGCTTTGGAGGTCGACCACGACGCTTTTGGGCGTGCGGAGTCGATGACGTATCCGAGGCATTGTCTCCGCAGAGCGACGAGGCTGTCGACGAGGTTGCGTAGCGCGATTTCTTGGCATTAGTCGATGCAGTCAGCTCGTCAATGTTGTCGATCGTAATCATCGGCAGCTTGCGCTTGGCCGGGTTGAATAGATCGCTCAGTGTGGTGGCACAGATGGACCGTGATGGTGGAGCGGGTTCAGCTGGAGCCAGAATCTTGGGTTTCTCCTCGACCGGGGAGGTTGGCACGATATCATCGTAGTCCTGTGGATTGGAGGAAGTATCGAGGTTAGTTTGATTCTAAGGGATGTTTCTAAAGAGGCGGCAGACTTACGAAGTTCGAATCGATGTAGGTGAGAAGGTCGAATCTGGCATCTGCTTCGAGTTCGAACACTTGGTTCGTAATGTCTGGGGTGTTGAGGATGCCGTTTAGGTGTGGGGTGGCGATGGTATCGGCCTCGGTTGACGTGTTGAGTTTTAGCTTGGGCCATGGCGCCATTCTCTCGAAGAGCTGCCGTTTAACGCTTGGTGTTGTCTCTCTAGGTTTCAAAGGTTCCTTCACCGTATTACGTGTTGTTAGATTGTGACCTTGGGTGTCCCCATCAAGTGGTAGCTTAATCGTATAGTAGTTGTGTTCTAGTTGAGTTTGCGTTTTTAATTCTAGAGTATCATCTTTACTGGAGACATTCTGCAGTGCTTCTTGCGTCCAAGCAATTGTCTCCGATGCATCTTTTACTGGCTTCTCCAGCTCACTATCATCTTCATCATCGTTGTCAGCATCACTTTGGAGTATGGTAGCAATAGAAGGGTGTGTTTCAAACACGGTACCATTCGCGGCGACTGATAGTGGTGTTTCGTCGCAGGCAGTAGGTGATTGTTCCTGAAGTACCTTCAGGAAGCTGGGCGATAAGGAACTATCTCCGTCGTTGGTGTAATTGTTGACGGAGACAAGGTTGTTCGCTTTGTAGTAGTATGATTCCGAAAGTTGTTCGATTTCGTCGGACAGCGCGGTGCTGCCCTCAACCGCGTCGGTGTTGGGGGTGAATATGATTTTACTGAAATCGACACAAGTTTCAAATTCATCTGCTTCGCGGTATTCCGCAGCGCCCGAACTGCTGCCGGGGGACGCGACACCAGGACTCTGGTGTGGCGTCAAGTAGCTAATCTCGGGACTAAGCATTGTCTCCTCCGGGCAGGGTTCGAACTGCCATGAGGAGTTTAACGGTGCCGTAAAGAATGCTTCGTCCAAAGTTAGTGATGGTGGGGTCATCGGACTGGTCTTAAAATCGAATAGTTGTTCCTTCTTGCTACCGTACATGCTGCTGCTGTTGTTACTGTTACTGTGATCCTCTTCGTTCATCATGATGATGCTGCTGCTGCTGTTGATGTTGTTCTTACTAATAACATTGCTGGGGTTGTTGTCGGATGGTACAAACCCTCCGAAACTTCCATTCTCAAATCCGCAGACGTCTTCCGGTCTAGGTGTATTGAGTTGTTCACCTGTTGTATCGCTTATGTTGTTGATGCCATCCGGCCAGGCTTCTGGAGCGACCATGAACATACTGCAGGATGACCACCGGAGAGGCGGAGGAGACGGTGACATATTCTCTACCTTCAGCGTCGGTTTGCACCCAACCTCTCCGAACACACCACTGATCGTCGGGTGCGTTGAAGTAGTCTGTTGCGACCTGTACGGCTGCCGATTCCAGGTCGGACTCGTCCAGCTGCAGTTGTAGTTGCTGATCGGCTGGATTTCTGATTGTTCGAAGTTGTCTAGCTGCTGGTACTGGTGCTGCTGCTGTTGCTGCTGCTGCTGCTGCTGCTGCTGATACTGGTGATTGTTGTATGTCGTTGTAAACCTGGGGTTCTCGCCATGTGCGACATTCGCTTTCGTTTCCGGCTGTCTGTGCCATTTTGATACAGACTAGATGGGAGTAGAAAGGCCGAATTAGATCGGGGCTCAATAGTATTAATGGCCTAGGGGCTACTTACAATGTGTTCTCCGTTGAGTTTTATAGAAATTTTAAAAGCTTAAGCTTCACCAATCAATGAGCTGAGAGTTTTGGCCCCCCAACCTGAAAATAGAGATGAGAGAGAAACATGCTGGTTAGTTGGGTTTTAAAATATTTGTAACGGAATCTCGCTGAAGTCTAGATTTCATGACCTGGATTGACAAAGTGGATCCTATGGAATCAATAATAGAGGATGGGATTTATTCGATTGGTCCGTATAGGGTTGACGTTGTGATCCTCAATGATTTTGACGAAAAAAAAAAAAAACAGATAGGTATGCCAATCACTACTGAACGTATCGTCAACCGGGCTTCTGAGAATTGCTTTCTTGTTCATGTTCATTCCAAGAAATACCCCCAACAGTCAGTTGAAAGTCAATCCAAAGTTGCACTCACTGAAAACGTGTTCGCTGTCGCGCATGCGTGATGCCGCTCATTAAAAAAAAACGATCACGAGATGCCTAAACCGCAAGAGAAGTTTGCTGCGTCACTCTTATGGTTTGCTTTTTGCGAATCGCGAAAAGTTTCCGAAAAGTGCTTCGTCACTGTGAGTTGGCTTTATTTTACATTGCTTGCATGACACAGGAGGAGCCGACTTTCTGTTTTGTGAAAAGGGTGGAGCTTGTCGGTAATCGCGTTCAGTGATGGAGCTCATTAGGCTCGTTGTCTTGCACGTCATTATTTGCACATCGTAATTAAATTCTATTTTACAGACGTCAATGCGCACATCGGTACCATTTACTCGCTACACAATTGACCTATAATTAGATCAGCTAGATGTGATTTGTTTTCTCTGTAGGCCTATTTAATCGCGTCTATGATATATTTATTTTAGTGTGTAAAATTTATCAACTAACGAACAAAATGGTTGATTTTCTTTCAACGCATTTCATGGTTCGCTGTTCGAAGAAGCGTTCCACCAGTATCCAAGCATGTGATGGAAAAACCCGAGCCATCGCCCATCAGTGACTTCTCAGTATTGATTCGCCGCTTATCATAGCGCTAGTTGATAGTGGTGGTGGAGGAGTTTAGATTTAATACCATTCTTATCTGCAAATGCCAGCCTGATATACAGTTCTGAGAATGGAATAAATTTCTACCTTTGTCTTGTTTCCGTGCACCGTAAACGAGGTTACAGTTTGCACAATGACGTAGGCAGGGGCAGTGCATAGTGGGTGTTTTTCTTGCTGGCTTATTGCCTACTCGGAGAGGAATTAATTTGGAAAAGATGTAGATACCTACGAGTTACTGATAATGACCGAAAGGTATCGATCTTCAGTAAAGTTGTTCAGATGGTCAAGACCAATCCTAAGGTAAAGAGTTTAGTTCGGAGTTCACACATCAGGCAGCGCCAGTGTGATATTCATTTTGAATTGTTTGCCCTAACATTACTTCTTGACCGGATAGAAAGTTCCTGTCTTCGGAAAAGTTATTCAAATGGACAGGACCTATTTTATGGTAAAGAGTTCAGCTCAGCATTTACTCACTAGGCGGCGCTAGTGTGAAATTAACTTTTCATTGTTTACCCTAAACTAACATATGGACTAGATAGTAGATTTCCGCAGTGGCGTCGCCCTAACCTCAATCTACCTGTTCAACAACTCTCAAAACCTAAAAAAATTAAAAGGCATGACTTCCAATGGATACAAATCAGTGAAACTAGAAGGTCCTGTGCCTTTTGAAACTGATTTAAATGTAAGCATGACCCTAAATAACGTTTTCAAAGTCGTTGAACAGGTAAAAAGTGAGGTTACGCGACGCCACTGGATTTCCGTCTTCTACAAAGTTGTTCAAACCTGTTCAAACGAACAATACCTATCCTAAGGTGAAGAATTTATTTCGCTATTGTGGCATGCACTTTGAATTGTTTGACCAAACTTAACATCTTGACTTGATAGAAGACTTTGGCAAACTTTTTCAAAGAGTTTAGTTCAGAATTCACTCACCAGGAAGCGCTTGTGTGACATTCATTTTGAATTGTTTGTCCTTACCTAATATATGGGCTAAATAAAAGATTTCCGTCTTCGACAAATTTATTCAGATGAACAAGACTTCCTTCTATTTTGGTGTTTTATTACATCGCTGCTTGGACTTTACGCCGGTTTTCAAATATTCTAGATGTGCCTCCATAGTTGTTAATTGAGAACTTTTTAAGCCTGACCCATATTTGCATTAGTGTACTGTTTGGCAATTGCGTAAGTATAAGTGGGAGCGGGACATTTCGCCGAAGGTCATTCCACCGAATGGGTCATTTCGCCGAAGAGCAAACCTTTTTGTACGGTTATGAACTTTTCTCAAAGCTCAGTAAATTTTGAAATCAGTCTCGAAAAAAGATTAAGAAGGTTCGATTTTTTCAACCTAGCAAATTATTCAAATGTAATGCTTCTTTCTTTCGTGTTTCGGAAATGTTTAAACAATCAGTGTATTACTTTAAATGCGTTCCAAATTAAATTTAATTGTATATTGATTCATGATTCAAATTCGGCGAAACGTCCTTCGGCGAAATGACACAGCCCCATACTCTATATCCAAGGGAACTCAATAAATTTTGCAACCTGATCGGTAAGTGAACAAAGCCGCTTCCAGCATGACCTTACTTGGTGGAGTTTCACTTAAATTGGACAGATGGAACTTTTTCAAATAAACCTGCTAGCGGCGTCGGTGATGTAGTGGTAACCCAAGTAACAATTTGGGTTTTATGAAGGTTCTTTAGACCATTATTTAGACTTGTAGAATGCTATAAAACCTCGATAAAACTTGAAATGTTACTTGGGAAGCGTGATTGCATCTCACCCCAGTCGACGCCGCCGGGATTTTCTGATCGTCGTCGGCAGCATTGGTACTCAGTACGGAAATCAAAATCAAAGAAAAAAATAAACCTGCTATTGTACCATACTTACATATTTCTGACCGACCAGGAATCAATTTTGACAAACACCTTTTCAAAAATCGGATGGAGATCGCAGTAGGCTCTGCTCGAGAGTGATTGATTTTCGATTTGGCTGTCACGTTTTTGCTTCGGTGAGAATTTTCCCTTAGGGTCGTTGAATTTAAGTAAAAGTTTCCAATAATGTCGCATGTTACCACCATACCGTGTGTTCGGTAGCTGGTAAAGTCATATACGCGAAAGTGTGTTATAATGACCGGAAGAGCAGGATCCATTAAGTGCTAAGGAGGATGTGTATGAGCAACTACAATCGAAATCAGGCTTGTTACAGCTCATTCCGGTGAATCACGAAATGAGATGCAAAGCGTAGAGAAGAACCAAACTACGGAACCCATGGATTGGAGGGTCAAATTAGTATGGTGAGCTCTGTCCAAATACTTTTTTACAATACAAAAAATAGTAAACGGCACGTATTTAGCCAGGATTCAAAAGAACATTTTGAAACTGGAAGTGTGTGTGTGTGTATTATACTAATATCCAATTGATAGGGGTAATACATACATTGCAAGTGAAAGTAACTTCGGAATGGGCGTGACTCTACAGACAATCCGAAATGGGTTGCTAGATCTGCAATAGGGCTACCACCTTCTAACTCCCGGACTAAAGCTGTCTACAATGACCTTAAATGCGACATTGTAGAGAGAGTTCTTTCATAACAACACTTCCGGCCAGTGGGGGTAAGAGGGAATACACACATACATCCTCAAAAGCCGGACGGTCAACAACAAGGATTTTCGAACAGTATGATTAATTTTCGAAGTGTCAAATTTAAGTGAAAATTCACCAAATGCTACACAGCCTTAGATTGACGAGAATACGTAAATTCCGGTATGTTAATAATTGTGGAATAATAATCCAGAATGCATAACCGGGGTGTGCCCCCAAGTAGACGCCCATGTTCTGGCCCATGTATAAATGTATTTTGTTTTATAACAAGCTCTCATAAATCTCTGATTAATCGTACACTAGTGTGGTCCGCTGATCAACCCATCCTTAATGCGTTCAAAATGATAATCGAACGAGATTGGAAGCAAGGTTAACCAGTAGGGGTATATCATCATCATTCATTCGGCAGATGCGCTAAGTATCCCATTGAAATTTTGAAACTTAGCTTTGATTCCCATAGCCTTAAATTTAAAATTTTAATCTGAGTCGAATTCGCTAAATTCCACAGTCACTGTCGCCGAAAAACCCCAGAGGCATCCATTAGCTACTGCAATGTGCGAGAGGCGGTGGGGAGGGGGGATCGCTTCAAGGGCAGTAGCCCCAAGAGAAGGATGGATGCCACAGGACCCATAAAAAGCTGATCACGAAATTAAGCTGAATACGACAAAAACAGCCACGGTGGTGCGCAGTTTGCCAAATGACACAAATACCTTACTGGAACCGAGCCGAGTGAATGGAAATTTCCACCGACTTAAAACGACGCCGCTTCGAATCAGCAAATCCGCCATTTTTAAAAGCTCGCTTCCGTGGCAGAGAGTAAACGATCGTCGGGGAAATTTTGCCTACGTTTCGCATGATTCGAAGTATATGTGTGTATATTAGGGTGCCAATGAAATGTATGGGAAAAAGTTACCATCGAATTATTCAATCCGACCATATACAAAATGATCATTGCCTCGAAAAAAGACCATGTGCAAAATTTGGCCTCAATCGGACATGATTTGGGGTAGCGCTAAATCGTCAAAATTTAATTTTTTTCATCTTAAATTTCGGAAACGATTTTGTTTGCTGCCAAATAAATTTGATCAAACTATGGGAGATTCTCCAGATGTAATATGATTTTGCGTCACCCCAAATCATGTCCGATTGAGCTCAAATTTTGCATAGAAATGGGTCTTTTTTCGAAGCAATAAACATTTTGTGTGTGGTCGGTAGCAACTTTTTTTTTTCGTGGCACCCTAATATATACCTATACTGCCTATAATCCCATATCAGTCCCATTTCTGGACGATTGAATTTCTTCGATGGGACTGATATGCGATCACTTTGCTTAAAGGGGCAAACTGCCTTCATGTTGCTGTCACATTTTTCCCAAAGTCCATAATTTTATCACGCATTATGACAGTAGATTATCGATTGGTAGCTAACGTTGTTATCTTAAAATTGACAAAAATCCATATAGGACTGACATGCGATTATAGACAGTATATATATGCGTATTTTTTTTTCATCAGAGTCACTTATACACTGTTGGGTCATTTGTGACTTGGGGATGAGATTTGAACTCGTGACTATGGCGTGATTTATATGTGTAACACGTATATTTGTAGGTCCAATCATTTCCTATCAGCGCATTGGAAAAGTTGAGGATCACATTGACTGTTGCTAACCGTAAGCCATTGGCTGTGTGCGAATGGCTGTTGGTTTGGCGGCAGTGACATCACACTACCACCTTTACCGTACACAGGAATGGCGTTCGGACATTATCGATCACATTCGTTGAATTCAAAGATAAGCAATGCCTAGCGGACTATAAGTAGATACCAACTTGTTTGTCTTCTTTCGTCAATTGCGCACGGTATTTGTTGTTGTTATCAACATCCGGTCGTTGATCAGCGATAAATATAGCGCAATCCATCAGCCTAGTGTAACTGCAATGGCGTTGTTGTTCTGGTGAGGGTTTTCATTTTTTTTTTCAACAAAAGTATCTGACTGATGACATTTGAGTGGGTATCTAATTACACGATCGATGTGTTAGTAGATTACAGTCATATGACGAGTGCACGTGTATGTTCGTTTGAAATGGATGACTCATGGGGAAAGCGATTTTTTTCACTTGGCACTAATGCGTAGAAGACCTGTTTTTTTTTCTGAATTTAAATTTTAATTGCCAGCTAAAAAAATCCACAGCCCCGACTACGCGAATCATCATCACATTAGCATTTTTCGCGAATTATTCGAGAAGCTTCTTCGAACTCGAAAGGAGACAAAAGAGCTACCCATGATGGCTAACCTTGATGTGTTTGTGCGTGTCGCTTAATTCAAGCTATTCGCCACCAGACCAGGTGGAAGTTTCTCGAATGCGTCTTCCGATGTTATTTTGAACCGTCGCCAAAAATATCCCCTCACCAGACACCGGGCAAATGTTTTCAAATGGATTTAGTAGGTGGAAAAAAAGGCAACCATATGACCTTTTCTTCGGCGGGATTGAACTTGTTGGAACGTGTTCGAACGTGTTTGTTCGCATAGCTGTACCAGTGCCTACGCTGTTGATTACGTCATTGAGACTGCCGAATGTGGGCGTGAAATTTATTGATTTTCACATTAGATTTACACCTGAATTTTTCATCCCCAAACATAAATCACTAAATTAAATGTAAAAATAACCAGAAATTTTATACATACTCGAGCGAAATTATCTCCTTAGGATCTAACGCCTTCCAATCGTAGTTGGTCCCTATTCTCCAAGTCTTCCGTGGATCGCCCAGTTTGTCCAGAATAAACCACAACCAATCACTAGTTAAAACCTGCCTCCGTTTTGCGGTAAAATTCACCAACTATCAATTCGTTCAATTCGCTTTATTCACTCTTGAAAGCACTTCCTATCTCTCCACAGGATTCGAAAAAAATGCCACGCGCACGAAAAATGCGACCGCTTGTCTCAAACTTTCGAAAGTAAATGATCAAGGCAGTGCAGAAGTGTGAATGAAAACGAAGTTAAATCTAGTACTCCTCCCATTCAAAGCTTGCCTTTTGTTGTGCAACATCCATGGCCTCCGATTGGTTACGACAGCAGACGTCACAGTCGGCTGTGATTGGTTCGGCTTGAATCGGCTCGCTTGAAAGCGGTCACCATAGATTCGACTTTCTGGTCAGTGAAAATCCCAACACTGGCGCAAATTCTGGTACTACGTGAACTTAGTTGGATTTTAACTCGCTGATGATTGGAAATAGGTACTTACATTGAATTGACGACGCCGACGAGATACTGCTCACGATGCTGCAAAGGGTGACCCATCGTCATCGTACCAATAATAGTTCTCGTACCCACCATACAAATATTACGCTTTCCACCGACAGTACACATAAACTTCACCATCGACGACTTGGGCTTAAACTTTCGAATGTTCTTGGACTTGGTGATGGAACCGATAAAATTGTTCTTGGACTTGATGATGATGTTGCTCTTTTGGCTCACTGGCGCTTGCATGGTAATCACTGCCGGTGACTGCACTTTGAGTGTTTTTGTATAGATGATAGCGTTTATCACTTTGATCTCGCAAAACAGCTTTGGATAGATTTCACTTGTGTTTGTCACAATATCACTTTTACACAGTTTGAGTTTGAACAATGTACAGACTTTTCAAAATCTCTTAAGTCTATCACGAATTTGACCACGATTGGTCCACTACCAAACAATGTTATGTGTGCTAAGTTTTTCGTTCTTATATTTGAACTGATTAAACAATTACAATTTAATCGAAACTGTACGTTTTCAGTTAGACTATATAAGAGCTGCTGAGTTTTCTTCCATGCTTACTTTTTCTGTATCTTAGCTGCCTTGTTTCTCCCGATAGAATTTGTGCCCCGTTTGACAATATCGTTTTAAAACTTTGTCTAGACTTTAATTGATGCGCTTGTATCATAAATTCGGCTGGAAATGGTTGATTGGAAAACTTTGCAAAGATAGCAAATCGTAACACTTGTGACTGTCTTCGTTCGTAGTTTTAGGAAAAGTGATGCAATTCCATACGGAGTAGACTCATCTGATATCTCAGCTCAAAGACATGGGGATTTGTTTTTGTAGTTTTTGGTTCCACTACTCATATAACCTAACGTTGAGGTGGAGAGAAGAATTTCAAGCGTAGCTCGCACTCATGGACAATCCCATTTAACGGCTGTCGGAATGGGTGTGTTAAACATAGCTGCCTCTCGCTTACTCCTGTGTTATAAAACCTATAAACGGCTTTGTGTGCGTATTAAAAGATTAAAGCACTTCTGTCGAGCAGTTCAATGCAACGAGGGGTACTGGACCGATCGAAATGATGATTCGTAAAATGTGTTACCTGTTATTGCCAGTTCACATAAATCTGAGCATTCATTGATTTTTCAGAAACAAGAACAAGACACAATCGCAGCTGTCATACATGTCAAACACTGACAAAAAACCATATTATTAAATTAATTTTAAAAATTAAATAATTAATAATTAAAAATTTTGGAGCCTTCAAATTTTATAAAATCCAAATCTAAATAAATTCTTCTGAGACACGTTCTGGCACAGGTTCGGGCATATTTGACACTAATATGTAATCACAACTGGATCAATTATATCTGATTCTTAAACCTCATTTTCTGACCTTTCAAGAGAGGTTCTGTGGATATGATAGAATTCGGTTGGTCCCGAATATCAAGCATTTTACCATGAAATATATTTCGGAAGTTTGTGAGTAACAATTATTGTCCGTTTAAGGACAAAATGAACTTGTAATGTCTGGGTAATGATGGGTATTAGGTTTTAAAGTTACTTCGGATGTTAGTACGAGGTATAACACCGATGTTATCGCTTGCACGCTCTGATAACGACTGAGCTGAGTTAGTAGTAGTAAAATTTACGTTTATTTTCTGTTTTTTTATGTTTCAACATTTGGTTTAACATTTCAATTGATTAGCCTTTGGCTCTTCATCTTTGTTATAGTTAATTGGTTATTCTAATGTGATGATTGCGTTTAGAGCAATTCTCTACAGATTGACGAATTTTTTATTTTTTTTTTAATTAGTCGGCTCCGATTTTGATGAAAATTTGCACAGTTGTTCTTTTTTAGTAAAGATGCCAATTTGTGTTATCAGTTCTTCAAATTGAATCACGACTAATTTTCTAACAGGGCCTGTGTAAAAATAGTACTAATGAGTTAAAAAATTTATATTGCTGATTAATTTGGTGTCTTGAGCAAAGTTGTAGATATTATTTTGGCAATAATGTTAAAAATATACACTGTAAAAAAATTCGTTTGTTTCAATGAAAAAAAAAATATATTTCTTATTAAAAAAATTAATTTCTCAAAAAGTACATTTTTGAAAATTTTCGTTTTAAGCCTCATTGAAGCTCATAATATTTGCTACAAACTGGCAAAGTTTGGTGATGGTAAACTCAAAAAAAAAAAACAAAAAAGTTATGATTTTTTGAAAATTTCACGATTTTTACATTTACATTAAAAACACATGTTTTTCAACCGTGTATATTTTTTTCAAGAATTGCATTTTAATTTTGCACAACTTTCTCGAAGACACCAATGCAATCAAGCAAGCCGTTTTTGCAATATAGATATGTTTATTTCATTAGTGTTTTTCTACACAGGCCCTATTGAAAAGTTAGGATTCATTACATCTGATACCATGAAAAGGTATCGTTACTAACAAAACTAAAAAATACATTTGATGAATATTGAGCTAGAACTAAATAAAAGTGAAATGATGCTCAAACTAGCGATTAATTTTCTTTTTTATTCATTGTCTTCAATTTTGCATAGTTGTATCAGTGGTCTTAACGGTAATAAGTCAAATACTCAACACTGTAGTAGTGAACACCAAAAACATCTGTCTGTACCTAATGTAGAAATTATACCTATCGATCTGATACTTAAATGAGTTTGAATGGTGAAAACAAGCATTTGATCACAAAGATTGCTTTTTACCACATACATCTTAAAAAGTTATCATAGGAAATAAGTGTAACACCATTTGGTTAAAAGGTAAGCATAACCTTCAGTTGTATTTCAATGAAATCATTTTTAAAGATTATTATTTTTAATTTTTTTAATACAGGAAGCAACATGAGTGAACGAGCATGTTTTATCAGGTGCATTCGGCCGTTCGAGGAAGTCAAGTGCTCGAAAGAGCTGAGGAATATTTCGAATATTACCATCCAGAAATTAAAATCGATTGGATATTCTGAAGCATCCATATTGAATACTGATTTTCGCATTTGCACGTCCTGTCGTCTTCGTGTTGATAAACAAGCTCTTTTCATCTCAAACGAGGAACAGCATGTTGCCGGAAGCTCAAAGATGCCAACTACAGTGATAGTACCTGTCGTACCGAGCTGTGAAAGCCTTACAACTGTACCATCAATGACATCAGTTACTTCAGTTCAATCGTACCAAGAATTTACTCAACCAGTCAACATCGAGATATTCAACCGAGGCATTGCAGGAATCCAGGTATCACCGATAGACGTGGGAAAACTCAACTACAACGACTACCCCGAAAAGAAGCACCGTGAAATCAATGAAGGTATTAGAAAGAATCTTTTCAACTTCGAGCCTGAGGCTGACGAAGTGAATGAACTCAAAGAAGTTTTAGAAAACATGAAGGAAAAGTTTTCCAATGCATCCACTGCAAGAAGTGAAAAATTATTAATTTTATCGTTATTGCCTTATTCATGGTCAACACAAAAAGTTATGGATCAATTTAAAGCTAGTAGATATATTGCAACAGAGGCTAAGTTGATAAAGGAAGGTCATTCGTCAAAAACCGCAAAATATGGCACAGCCTTAAGTGATGAAACAAAATTGGCAGTCATACATTTTTTTGAAGATGATGATATAAGCCGGGCAATGCCTGGTCAAAAAGATTATGTGTCTGTGCAGAAAGAAGGAAAACGACAAGCCATTCAAAAAAGATTACTAATGATGACTTTGAGAGAAGCTTATAAACGATTCAATGAAATTCACTGCAATGTAAAAATTGGATTCTCTTCATTTGCAAAACTCCGCCCTAAGCAATGTAAACTTTTAACCAGCTCTGGAACCCACAATGTTTGTGTGTGCACAACGCATGAAAACATCAGTCTAATTTTACACAGTTTGAAAAAACTTAACCATTTAAATGATGTAAAAACGTTCACTGACAGCCTACTTTGAGAAAACAAGACAACATATTGCTATCTACGGTGTTGTGAAGATTGTCCAGACTCTTCCGCATTAGAAAACATTTTATTAAAACAATTAGAGGAAAAATGCATTGATCAGCTTTTATTTGAACAGTGGGTTATCACGGATAGATGTGATTTAGAAATTATTGTAAAGCCTGCAGACGAGTTTGTTTCATTTTTCTGCTTGAAATTGACAAGTTTGATACCACATGATTTCATAAAAACACAGCAATCTAATTTTTTGAAAACTACACGAAATAATTTGCAAGAAGGTGAATTTTTAGTTACTTGCGATTTTTCCGAAAACTACAGCTTTGTGTTACAGGATGAAGTTCAGTCTCATCACTGGAATGTCCAACAAGCTACCATTCATCCATTTGTTATATATTTTAGAGAAAATATGCAAGTTAAACATTTAAGTTTTATTATAATTTCTGAAGAGTTAAGGCATGACTCAGTGGCTGTTAACTTATTTATTTCTAAAATGATAAGTTTTTTACGCATTAACCAAAGTAAAAATATCAACAAGATTTATTTTATGTCCGATGGAGCCGCGTCACAGTACAAGAACCGGAAAAATTTTGCTAGCCTTTGTAAATTTAAATCAAAGTATGGAATTGAAGCCGAATGGCATTTCTTTGCAACATCACATGGGAAAGGTCCTTGTGACGCTATTGGAGGTACAATAAAACGTATGGCTACTAGAGCAAGTTTGGCCAAAGAACGTGAACATCCAATAAAAATGCAAGAGAGCTTTATAATTGGGCAAATAATCGAAAAGAAGAAGAATTAACAAAATTATCATTTAGTTTTGCCACAACAGAGGAATACGAATGTATGGCTTCACACCTCAACGAGCAATATAATAATGCAAAAATAATTCAAGGAACTCAAAAGTTTCATTCTTTCATTCCTGTATCAGAAAATAAAATTAAAGCCAAACGATACTCAAACTGTAATGATAATGATGCCGATGTATTTAAGAAGTGATGTAAATAAAAATAGAAAGTAAGTGTATTACAATGAAAATAAATTATGTATCATTTGTCCATAAGGTTTTCGAATAAAAGAAAAGTAAAAAAGAGCAGATAAATGTATTTTGTGGATTTAAGTTGAGATTTTAAAATAAAAAAGTAGTCGGGATTCGCTATTACAAATTGTAATAGCGAACCCCGACTACTTTTCCGATAGGGCCTGTGTAGAAAAGCGCTTATAAAATAAACATTTTAATACATTGCAAAAACGGCTTGCTCGATTGCTATGGTGTCTTCGAAAAAGTTGTGCAAAATTAAAATGCAATTCTTGAAAAAATATACACGGTTAAAAAAAATGTGTTTTTAATGAAAACTTCATTCGTG